TTTTTCTATATTTGTGTTTTCTATTCACTCTTTTTTCTCTCTCTCTCTCTCTCTCTCTCTCTCTCTCTCTCTCTCTCTGCTTTATGATTATAATTATTCGATCAAAATTCTACATGACATAAACATTGATCTTTTCGTTTTTTTTTTTGTTGTTTAATAATAATGATTCCTGATATACAACAACAAAGCAAGCAAAAAAATGAAAACAAAACAAAACAAAAACAAAAAACAAATATAAACCATCCATACATACATACAATCTATATATCTTTTCTAACATAGAATATACGTATATCGTACGATTCTGTTTCTGTTTTGTTTGTTGTTCTTTATTATTTAAATGTTTTTCATTTTCATTCATTCGCCAGGTTACCCAGAATTCCCTAGCAATGATGAAAATAAATTCTGCCACTGTATGGCATGTGTGTGTTTGGTTATATATGGTTGATAAAACCCATACGGCGATACATACGGTGCATACCAGCCAGACACAGGAACACACACACACAGAGAATGTGAATTGCGAATTGATCCAATATTTGTTCCAGTCGGTATGAAACCGTTGCCAAGTGTACATCATTATCATTCCATTCAATAATTTTAGTTTGTTTTTTCTCTGATTCAATATGAGACGATTTACAAACAACTAACTAACCTAACCTAACTAGCTAAATGAAATGACAAAAAAAAACCAAATAGTGAAACACAAGCAAAAATAAATAAAGAAAATATGCTTAATTTTCTGATGAAAAAAATGGACCAAATTTGCCTTTTTTTTGATATTCTTTTCTTCGGTTTTTTCTTATGTGTTTAAGTGTGTAAATCATCATCATTTTTGGTGAAATTTTCTCAAATAAATGTGTTTAAGTGTTTTTTATCGTTTAATGATGATGGTTCTTTTTCCACGTTCAATAATGGTGGGATTAATATTCCAAAGCACGTATCTGATGTGATAATGATGATTGTTTTTCTGTCTTTATAGTTTTCGGTTTAAGTTTATTGTTTGGTTATGTAACAATCGTTTTTCTCTCTCTCCATATTCTTTTTCAAAAATAAAAAACACCGTCGATTTGCCAAAAGTGTTAACGAAAAAATGAAAATGATAAAAAACTAATTTAAAAAAAATATTTCCATTTTATAAAAATGTTTGGAATATTTTCCATCAATAATAACGATTGGTTAATTACCACTATCAATGTGATGTTTAATTGTCGGTTTATCATTGAAATTCTATCCTATTTCATCAATCTGTTTACTGTGATATGGCTCAAATTTCATTGTTCAAACATCATCAATATTGATTATCAACAACAACAACAGCAAAAATCAAATAATCGATTGAATAGAAAAAAATTTCATCTAATTTCATTTTCATTTTCATTATTTATAATTTCATTTGTATTTATAAATCAAAATATTAATAATGTTGAATCATTGATTTTAGATAATTTTTCAACAACAATAAACAAAATTGATTTTGTTGAAAAATCAATGGAAAACACCAATAATGATAATGATATTATTGAAAATTCCGATTCATCAATCTCACAACCAGATCTATCTGGTAATAACATTGATGATGATAACGATGATGATGAAAATTCAATGGCCAACAATGATTTTATTCTTAACAACGATGAAGTAAGTGATGCAGAATTGAAAGATAAACACATACTCAAATACACTGAAAAATACACACTCGAACAAAAAGAAATACTGAATTCTTTCGTTTGCAAAGAAAATACAGAATTTTCTTGAACCGGATTTTTCTTTTGGTAATTTCCTTAGTGTATCACATTAAATTCGTTTATTTTTCTGTAGTCGTATAGTGTAGTGTGTGTGTAATGTGTGTGTGTAATGTGGGTTTTATTCTGATTTCATTAATTCAATTCTTTCGTTTGTTTCGCTTTTTCTTTTCGTGAAAAAAAATACCCAAAAAAATAGGAAATTTTACAAACAATTCATTCGATTAGTGAAGGAAAATATTGTACGGCTTCAATGAATACTGCAACTGGTTTAACAGCTATTGGAACATTTCCGTCCGCAATCATTTCATCTGCATCTGTATCAGAATCTGTATCACATTCAATCATTTCTATGGTTAATATTTCTAAAAACAATGTGGGTGATGATAAACAAAAAATTAATAGAAAAAAATTACGTTTAAATCGTGATAATCATCAACAGCAGCAACAAAATTTTCATCATCAATTTCATCATCATCACCATCATCAACCGATTGTGATGGATGAAAATCTAAGTCAAACTAATCAAAATCAAAATCTATCAACATCGATTGTAACAACCAAAACTAAAATTATTAATTTATTAAATGAAATTAATAAATTTGAATCAATTTATTCACGATTTCATCATCAACAAATTAATCCCAAATTTTCATTGGAAAAACAATTATTTTTACAACAAAAATTAATCGATAATGAACAATGTAAATGTGTTAAAAAATGTATTGATCTTTTAGCAAAAATATTATCCAATTATGAACCATTATCCGATCGTTTTCAATTAATCAATCAAACTATTATGCAATCATCATTGATTGAATCCAAAATATATAGGTTTGTTCCATTTATTGTTTATTTACCAATTTGTAATTCGTCTTTTTTTCTGTTTTGTAATTTGTTTTCTTGACCACCTTGTATCAAAATAGACTTTCAATAGCATGGATTCAAAACAATAATAATGATAATAATAATGTTCAACAATGGCCAATTTCAAATGATGATCAATCATCAATTGATGATGATGATATAAAATTACAATTTTTTCAATGTAATAAAACAATTGAAAAAAATCTATTAAATAATGAAAAATGTCATAATATTATATCGATAATTGAATCAACAAAAATTATTACCAAATGGTTTTCACCAAAATTATTGAAAATTTTAAAAGAAAAACGTTTTTTCAAACATTTAAATAATGATTCATCATCATCATCATCATCATCATCAACCGAATGGTCAAATATATTTTTCGATTGTTTTCATAATCGTTGGTTTATTACATATCATTCATTGATATTACAATCAATCTATGATGATGATAATGGTGATTTTGGTGATAATGGTGATAGTTCTTCTTCGGCAACAAATTCTACATCAGCCAAAAATGATGATGATGATGATGATGATTTTAGATATTGGTTTCGTGTACGTGGTATAATAAGTGCCGATATTGATATAACTGATACTGATATTAATCAATGTGATCAACAAAAATTATCATTTATAAATGATAAAACAACAACAGCAAATAATCTACGTACAACATTAAATCTCTATGGAACACACAAATGTCATAATGAAAATAGTGAGGTAAATTATCAATAAATTTGATTATAAATGATTGTTGTTGTTGTTTTTAAATTACAAATTAGTTTTGTATTGTTTTTTGATTTGTAAACATGGCAAAAAAAAAAAGTTTACAAATCAAAATAATTCTTTTCTATTTTCACCCAATAAATCTTGATTAGTGTGCATATAGTCAATTTAAACATTCGATTTCCCTTCACTCACTCACTGATGGAAACACAAATATTGACACTTTTTTCAATTTTTTTTTTCGCTATTTTTTTATCTTTTAAAAATTGATTGAAATTCAAAAAAAAAGAAACTGCTACAAGCTGTTGTTGTTATTGTCATTGTTTTTCTTTGCATGATGTGTCATAAATGTGTGTTTGTGTGTGTTTTATATTCATTTTTTTTCCAAAGAATATTCTTCAAATTGAATTTTACACTTGAAAATTTTACCGTTTTTTCCCGTTGTTTTTGTTGTTGTTTTTTGTTTCTGTTTCCCAGAATTTATTTAAATCAAATTTTGAATCTGTTTTTTTGTTCCACTTTAAGTTCATTCATTCATCCATTTTTCGATTCTAATTTTACAATGTTTGTTTTTTCCCCCATTGTTTTTGTTGTTGTTGTTCTTGATCATTTTCATTTTTACGTGAAAAAATATAAACGACTATGATGATGATGATTATGATTCACTGAAATAGAAAAACAGAATTCAGTCAATAATAAACCTGCAATAAATGTGTGTGGTGTAAATGTTTGTTATTGTTGTTGTTGTTGTTTGGGAAAAAATGAAAATAATAAAAATTTTCTTTCTTTCATTCTTTTATCGATAAAACAATAAATCAACAACAACGAAAACAACAACAGAAAATTCAATAAAGAATTTTTTGATGAAAAAGGAAATTGTTGTTGTTGAAATCGAAAAATGAAATATAAGAAAAAAAAGAGAGAATCCAAACAAGTAAAATATTTTACAGCACAAAAAGAGAGAATGATAAATCAGAAAAGAAAAACTTACGAAAAGTTTAATTGTGTGTGTCTGTGTGTGTGCGTTTTATTATCAGAGATTTTCCCATATTTTTCCCGTTCAATATCAGTGAAAAAAAATTCTGCCATAATTTCCAATTGTTTCGCAATTCCAGATCGAATGTTAGTGAAATGAAACATCCGTTTTGAAAGAAAAAGAAGAAAAACCTTTTCCATAATGATGCAAGTAAATTTTCCAAACAGATTTGATATGAAAGCCGGAAAGTTTTTTTCTTCTTTTTTCTTTTTCACTATCTATCATTGGATTATTACAATTTATTCGATGACGTAAATGTGTGTGTGTGTATCTGATGATGATTTTTTTTTTTGAATGAAAAAAAAGCAATAACACCATTCAACAAATTCATAGGTCTCATGTCAATTTTTTTTTTTAATCAAACTTTTTCTTCCGTTTCTCTCTCTTCGATGTATTTTTATTTTCTGTTGTTTTCAAAATGTCAAATGCCAATTTTAAGTAACGATTTGTTTTTCCAGAAAAAAAATGTTAAATACTTTCAACAACAACAACAGAAAAATGATGGAATTTAAAATTGTCGTTTTTCTTTTCCTATAGGAATTACAGAGAAAGAGAGAGAGAGAGAGGGAGAGAGAGAGAGAGAGATAAACAAAAATGTATCACATTTGAATAATGATATTATTTTTCTTTCAAAAAAAAACTAAACTTTCCTTTTACCATTTCTTCTCCTCCATTCATTCATTCATTCATTCGATTATTATTAATTTTTGTTCAATCATATTCAAATTATCTTTTTTTTTCTAGTGTATTTTTATATCTGGTGGTGGATTATTTCGTGGTGGTTATCAATGTCGTTGTAAAATGGGGTAAGTAAATATAATTATGAAAATATTGAAAGTTGGCTTCACTGCAATGCATTTTCATAATGATCAACATTTTTTCAATTTCAATATCAATATATAGTTTTCATTCAATTGTAACAAATTTTGGACCAACATTCAATGGTACATTAATGGAACGTTCATATCAGGATAAACAGGATGGTAAAAGGTAAATTAAGAATTTTTGATTCTTTTCTCTTCTCAAATATTTCTGTTTGTATTTTTAAAAAATCAAAAATCAAATTTACAGTCCAGCATATGATTATATGTTTCAATGTGAACGTTGTCAACCTGGTTGTGAACAATGTCAAGATAATACACCATGTTTATCATCATATAATTATGCATTTCGTATATCATTATTAACAATAACAATATTATGTATAATATTTACATTTATATTGGCATTAAATATTTATCGTTTTCGTCGTTTAAAAGTAATAAAAGTTGCATCACCAATATTTCTTTGTATTACATTGTTAGGTTGTGCTAGCATGTATCTTGAGGTTTGTTTTTATTTTAATCAACATTATTATCATATTTGATCTTTCTTTAAAAAAAAAATCTTTTTTTCTCCCAAAAAAAAACACCCATAAAGACTGTTATGATATTTCCAGTAATGAATACAGCCACATGTATATTAACAAAATGGACCAGGAATTTTGGTTTTTGTTTAACATATTCATCATTATTATTAAAAACATGGCGTGTATCATTAACATATCGTGTAAAATCAGCACATAAAATTAAATTAACCGATAAACAATTATTACAATGGTTATTTCCAATATTATTAGTAATGGTTATTTATCTTGGTGCATGGACAATTTCGGATACACCGAAACCAAATTATATTGTTGATTGGAATAATTTAAAATTTAAACAATGTGATTATAGCTGGTGGGATCATAGTCTAACTATTGGTAAGTTTTTTTCTGTTTTAGTTTTGTTGTTGTTGAAAAAATTTTTCTATTGAAATTTTTTTTTCAATGTTTAAAATTTTCCATTTTATCTATGCATGATGATGATGTTATGATAATGTTTATTATTTTTCATTTTTTTTCCAAGGTGAATTTTTATTCTTGCTTTGGGGTATAAAAGTTTGTTATAATGTTCGTAATGCACAATCATTATTCGATGAAGCTAAATATATAACATGGGCAATATATAATATTACTATTGTCAATATGGTTATGATTCTTATTCAGTAAGTTTTTCATTTTTCCATTGTTGTTGTTGTTGTGTTTGTCAAACAAACAAACGAAAAATTGTTTTCAAATTTTTAATTTCCGATTTTCAATCTTGTTTTCTTCTTCTTCGTTGTTGTCAGTTTATTTATACTACCAGATTCAGGTCCTGATATAAAATATTTTTTCGGTTTTCTACGTACACAATTAAGCACGACAACAACAGTAATATTAATATTTGGTCCAAAATTTTATCGTGTTATTAAAGGTGAAGGTGATTTATGGAATACAAATTTACAAGCACGTTGTATGATGATGGCTGAAACATATGCATTCAATGGTATTAGTTTAGCACATGAAGAAACAACTGATCTTTATCAGGAAAATGATGATCTTAAACGTGAAATACAAAAACTTGCAGCCCAATTAGAATTAATGAAACTTTGTCAAATGGAATTTCGTAATCGTCATCTGAATAATCATTCAAAATTTTTACGTATTCAACAACAACAGCAATTACAACCAGAATAATAAAAAAAATCGAAACATTGAAAATCAGAAAATTTAATCCAAACTTCCGGCAAACTTTACCTGAAACCTGGATTTTTCTCATCGTTCAATGCAATTTTCAATAATCTTGAAAAAAAATAGAAGCAAACGAACAAAAAAAACGATAAGAATTTTTTTGCATCATGAATCCTAATGACGTGAACATCATGAATGAACACATCGTCTAATAATAATCGCGAATAGATTTTGGAAAAAAAAGTAGCAATGGGAAATGGAAAACTGTATGATAAGAATGGAACGCACAAACGAAACGAACGAACTAAACGAAAGAATCCATTTAAAAAAAACTACCTGAAACGAAAAAATAAAAAAAAAAATACCAAATTGGAAACGATTATATATGTGAACCATAAGATGAAAATCAACTTGAAACATACAAGATGATGACGTAAAACATACGATGTATTTATTTGTAATGTGTTATGTTATGTGTAAATTTGTTATCTATTTTTTTTTTGTTTTCATTCATTCTTTCAAATTGCCATGGAAACAAACATGGAATATATTATTTTTGCACATTTTATTCTCATTGAAAAAAATAAATTTACTGACAACGTCGACGATGATGATGATTCATTTTTATTATTACACTGTATGTTGGGATTTTATTCCGTTTGTTTATCCTCACTCTCTCTCTCCCTTTACGGCACACGTTGATCTCGATGATGTTTGTTTCGAAAAATGTTAAACTATCAAAAAAAAAAAAAAAAAAATCAAACTAAAACTTTTTTTGAATGAATGATGAATGATGAAGAAATGAAAGATAAAAGGTAAAAATGAGAAAAACGAAGCAAACAAAAAAAAACTTCAATTTATTTCAGAATCATCATGTTGTTGTTGTTGTTGTTGTCGTGTTCCTGTATACTCATCATTCATTCATTTGTTTGATAAAAAAAAAAAATAAAAACTTTTTTTTTCAGATTGAAATTTGATCGTTATAAATCAAATTCTTCATGTTTTCAAACCATGAAAACATTATGTCATCATTTTAAAATGATTACAAAATTTGATTAATTTTTTTTTCTTGGTTAACATTCAATTTCAATTTTGAAAAACGAAAAAAATTCAACGAATTGATTTTTGTTTACATTTTTTTAATTTGTTCTTTAACCTGTGAGTGGGGTTTTGTTCCGCTTCCAAAAATGATTGGAAAAAAATTTGATTGCCTGCATTTTTCGGGTTTTTCAAGCGTCTTTTTTTCACTTGGTGTTTTTTTTTGTCAAGTTTTACCCACAATATAAAATCTTGCAGAAGCGAAACGAAACGATATTTTCATTCATTCATTTTTTTTTTCGTTATTCTATAAATAGATTGGTCTAATAGAATCAAAAAAAAGTGAGAAATATACTTCTTACTTTTTTTACTTCCTTTTTCTTTAAGAACAAATATTTTTTTTTAAAGCCAAGAAAAATAAAATGATTCTGGTCATGAAAAGTATATATCAAAACAACACTGAAGCAGATTCTATCATCACAATTGAAATAAAAGTAATAATCATTATCTAAAAATAGCCAAACAAACAAACAGAAAAAAAAGGTTTCGTTTTTCACCATCCACATCATTATTTCAAGCTGTTTGTTTTTTGTTTGTTAGATGCCCGATGGAAATTTTTTGTTTGTTTGTTTGTTTTCACTTTTTTTGCCACTAATTACCATCCGCATCTTCATTCGTATTGTCATCATCATCATCAGATTCATTATTATTATGGTTATGGTTATGGTTGTTGTTGTTTAACAATTCAGCGTTGTTTGTAGAATTCTGTTCTTTTTGATTATAATAACGATTTTTCCAATCTTTATACCTATAGAGAGATATTGCAAAAAAAAAGGAAGAAGAGAGGGAGAGAAAAACGAAACAAGATAGTAAATTAATGGCAAAATCATTTGAACTCAACATTCATAAATCATCATCATCATTTTTTTCTCTAGAAATATTAAAAACATCCAGAAACGAACGTAATTCGTACCGGAACCAAAATAAACAGTTTTGAAACTGAATTTGCTAACCAAAAAAAACAAAATAAATAAAAAAAGAAACTAACCTCCAAATATCATGATATTTATTTGCTTCACCCCATTCTTCTTTATGATAAACATTTTTCCAACCATGTTTAAAATGTCCTTTATCAGCATAATGTTCATTTTTTCCTTCATGTTTCATATCGGATGTTGAGGATGATGATGGATCATTGTCATCGGCCTCATCATTGTATAGGATTTTATTCTCCAACGGTAACATATCAACATTATCATTGATTGAATGATTTCTAATTCGTATTGGATTTAAATGGCTTGAACTTGGCTGTTGAATATCAAAAATTAATGGTTTAAAATCCATTGTTCGTGATTCTCTTGGTTGTTGCTTGAGTTGTTCTGGTTTCGGAATCATCAATATTTCATCATTATCATTATTCATTTCGATTGTTTTCAATATTGGTGGTTTCCAATCAGAAAAATTGAAAAAATTTGGCTCAATTTTTCTTTCCATAATAATTCCCATATCATTATCGAATCGGGTATCGTTGTTGTTGTTGTTGTTGTTTTTATTTACCGATTTGATTCGATCATTACCATCATTACCATCATCATTATCTTCATCTTCATCTTCTTCATCACTATGGATTTTATCATTATTTAAAATTTGTTCAGGTTCATAACGTGAATTATATGGCCAATTCGTTGTTGTTGTTGTTGTTTCATCATTATTTTTATTCAAATCAACTTTTGGTTGATTATTCTTTAATCTATTTATTTCCATTGATGATTCATCGAATGATGATGGTATTGATGATGATTGAAACATGTTTAAATCATTCCAATAAAATGGATGATATGATGGAATATTTAATGTTGTTGTTGATGGTGAAATAATCGTATTACGTAATCTTGGTTGAACAATATCCAACCAAAATGGTCGTTGAATTTTTTTCTGATTACGATTTTCTGATGTCAAAAAAATTTCTTTCGGTGTATTTAATATGAAATGATTTGATTTTTGTTTCATATTGATTAGATTTTTATATTTACTTTCATCATTATCATTTTGTTGTTGTTGTTGTTTCAATTGAATAGCATCTCTTAGTAATTGATCAAAAAGTATAAATCTTGTTAGGCTAATCGGTTCATTGAATAATGTTGATGACGATAATAATGATGGTGATGAATATTGAATTTTTGGTGATTGAAAACTTGATTCGGCCATTATTATTGGATTATCATTATTATTATTGATAATATTTTCGAATGGAACAAATGGTTCATATGAACTAATATCATTACTATCATTATTAATGCCACTGCTACTTGTAATACCACCATTATTGTTACTATTACTAATACTACTACTACTACCGAAATTTGATTGATCAGTATTGAGCAATAATGTCGATGATGTTGATATTGATGGAAAATCTTCCGGTATATATAATGGTAATGTTAATTGAAATAATTGATTCGATGTTGTTGGCAATGATAATTCATTTGTTGTTGATGATGGTAATGGTGGTGGTGGATAATAATAATTGGATAAAATTGGTAATGTTGATTCAGACATTTGAAGATCTGTAATGATTTTTTGTTGTTGACGATTATCATTACCATTATTACCATTATTATCCGGATTACGAATCGGTTCGAATACGGGAATTTCAATCGGTGGAATTATCGGCGTACCGAATATAGCCTGATCAGAAAATAATGGTATCGGTATTGTTTTCAATGATTTGGATTGTCGATGATTAAAATAATTAAAACGTTTCTGTTGATCGGATAACCATGTATTCGATAATTTGGATGTTTTTGTTCGTAATTTTTCAAATAATGATGTTGCAACTAATAATAAATTTGCATCGGCAACCTGTACAGGATTATTGCCTAAATTAATTATCTTTTTTTTTTGTTTGAAAATGATGAAACAAAAAGGATAAACGTTAAATAATCAACAAAGAAGAAGAAGAAGCAAATCAATCAAATATTTACCCATAAATAAATTGTTATATAACTGATTAACATTTTGTTTGGAAAAAAAGTTGATTGATTCGTTTGACTAAAGAAAAGTTATTGGCCGAATCCTTCTTGGAATCAATTTCGTTTCATAATAACAAAGACGACGACGACAACAACAAAATCATCTTCATAAAATTGGTTAAAAAGAAGAAGAAGAAATTTTCTTATGTTAACCATTTGTTTGATTGAACATTTGGATTGGAAAACATTTTTTTTTTACAATCCAAAATCCAAAAATCAAAGAAAAACAACAACAACAAAAATTCTTAATTCTAATCATACAGTTTATATATACTGTGTTGGTAACTTGCTCTCCAGCTCTTCAACAAAATTTTATTCCGAAAAAATATTCTTAATAGCCAATTTCTCTCTCTCTCTCTCACTCACTTGATCATAATAAATCACTGATGAAGAAAAAAAAACCATCGAATTACACAAACCAGAAAAAAAACACTTTTGATGATAATGAAAAAAACTAAACTAAATAAAAATTTCCCCAACTTCAAAAAAAAACATAATAAATAAATAAATGAAAAAAGGCAAAAAATTACAAAGAGAGAGAGAGAGAGAGAGAGAGAGAGAGAGAGAGAGAGAGAGAATGAGGATGAGGGTCG